AAATAGGAACATTTTACTAAAAAACTGTAACCTTCAGTTAAGATTTCATTGCATAAGATGTTATTAAAATAAAGATGGCTATTAAATGTAATATAATTTTATATAATATTTATTTGCAAACTTTAAAAACAGCAAAATATTTCTTAATTCACTCATTTAACAAATATCTCATGAGCACTGACAGATCCAAGTCCTATTTAAATACTTAAATGTAATAGTGACATGCATATATAGGTCATTTGTTCTCAGCAGTACTATCATACCATGTTATCAGCAATAACATGACACTTTCCCTCTGCAACATGGAAAGAGAGAGATTTTTGTTTCCTCTAAGAGTACTTACCTATGTTTCTTCTTTCCTTTGCGTGATGATTTCTCTAAGACAAAGAAAATTCTTGGCAAGAGAAGAAGTTAATGCAACCAGGCTTTATTTAACTGCAGACAGACTGATCATTATCTTTCAGTCTGTTTTGGAAGGACACAATAATTCACAGTCAGTGGCTATCATAACCCCTGTTACCTAAACTTGCCCAGTTAAATAAAAAGAATTTATACTAGAGCAAGCCATCTGATGTCTCAATTTAATAGACACTACAGCATGACAGGTCTTTCTGTGTCAGCTGAAGTTAAGGTTTATAAGCAGTGATCGGTTCTAATGTCTCTTTATTGCATGTATTGGTCTTACAAGTCTTAAAGAACTCTACCTATGTAATTATTGCCATAACACTACTTTTATAATGTCAAGTGAAGTTTATTTTAAAATTGTTAATGTTGTCCTAGAAATAGCTATCACAGCACACTCATTGCCAGTTTTACAGATATGTTCAGAATAAGTACAGTTGAAAAGAGAAATTTGTTCACTGGGTACTTAAGTTATTTCAGTGTAGCATGTAAATAAGAAACTTGGGAGATATTATGCAACGCCATTTCAGATTTATGATATATTTTGTGTTAAATTGAATATTTTCCTTTCTGAATATTATTGACATAACTGTGTGAGACTTGGCATTTGATTTTATTACAGTCACATACAGAGTTGGATTTTCCAGAATGCCAATTTGGAACTAAATTGACCTGACTACTTGAAAGCTGTGCTTTACATAGTACCACACTGCCAAACAACACTACTGTCTCAAGAGAGATTAACCTTGTAAGCAAGATATGCAGGTGATTCAAATCCAGTTAATCTCACATTAAAAAAAATGTTAATTACATTGGCAGGGACTTGCCTCTGATCACTCCACAGCTATATAATTAGGGATCAGGACATTCAGAGGGACTCTAATCTAATTGATAAGCAGTCAGCAAACAGCCCTGGAGATTTCTCCTCCTGTTATTCAATATGTGTTCAGACATAAGGTGTTAACATGGAAAAATTAGTGACCTTAGTTTGACATGCTTCAAGATTGTTTGCTCATTATTCCATAGTTCAGGATGTTTCATATATATTTATTTTAATTGTGCAGAACTTCATGGAGTACAGGCTCCATGGGGCATTAATGGATGTTGAATGTGATCATGTATCAACTTACTGCGTGATTATAATTTTACTTTTGAATTCGTTAACATTATGGGGTGTTTTTTAGATAATTTTGACACAAAACTATAGACCAAGACATTTTCTTGTGACTTGTATAACATGTGTATGAACAGGCATGGTTTCATGTTTGAGTTATGATAATAGTCAACACAAAGGCAAAACATTTAAAAATACATCTTTTTCAGTCTTTAATAATCAAGATTCCAATTCTCAGATTTTCAGGAAATAATGTCTACTTAAGGAAACTGGAAAGCGATTCCTACAAAAATTTCTTTCCATTGAAATAAATGTGAGGAAAACATACTGTCTTTTTATCGGGAGTTAAAATTGCAAAGTAGAAGGTAAGGTTGGTGTAATTAGCAGAAAACAATTGGAACAATGAGTACAACAATTTAGAGATACTTGCTGTAATAAGTGCTTTGGAAATTCTCAGAAAAACACTCTAAAGGTTGTTACCAAACTCCAATAGATCAGTAAATTTTGATGTTACTTTTTTGGAAGGGACTAGGTAAGATACTAAGGTAGAAAATCCATCTTGATGTGCCATTTGCATGCAGATTACTTCCACCTGAATTGTTTTTTGCATTGTCTGCTTTCTTTCTCTATCAATTGAATTACATTTTCTACTGTGAGCCAATGTGACTTCCAAAAATTCTATACCACAGCCTGTCTGTGGTTATCCAGTTGCTAAGCAACTGGACACTGCTTGAGGGCAGAAGGGAATAGGGAAGGTACTTTTGGAAGTTCTCCATCCCTGCTGAGTTCATCAGAAGAGCAATAGGGTTCCCCATATCTTGCTTCTTCTTTAAATTATAAATTAGGTGCTTCCACAAGTCTCCATGTAAAACAATGGGATGTGGACCACATATGATAACCAGAGACACTCTAGGATCCTGACAGCATTCTCTAGCCAAAGAGACAACTCTAGTTTTTTGTTTTTTTTTTTTAATTTTATTTATTTATACAAGCACTGGGTACAGTCAGAAGCGTGGGAGGGCAAGAGATTCACCAGAGCCAGAGCAAGGAGCAGAACAGGCAGAAGGACCAAAGTACACTACTGAGGGGAGCAGTGGGCCGCAGGAGAGGTCTGCGCGCCTTGTGGAACCTTTGGCCGGCAGCCGGGAATTGAACCGGTGCTGCAGAGGCTGCGGGCAGCTTCACAGCCCAGCACTCAACTGCTGTGCCACCAGGGGGGCCTGACAACTCTAATTTTGTGGTATCTAGTATAAAGTTTGCCCTTCGGATTCACTATACTCAATTTGTGATTTTGTGATTGGTAGCATGTTAAGGGAAACATACAAAAACTTTACTTGAACAGGAAAAATATGTATTTTAACAGACATAGTCTGATATATTGTTATGCCATTTATTTTACAAATATTTTATTTATTTATCTTTGTGTAGAAGAACAGGGGTGTAGGCCAGAGTTGCTGGGGAGGGGGAGTGAGAAGATTCACAGAATGAGGAGCAGAACAGGTGGATTTACTGAAATACATTGCTCAGGGGAGTAGAGGGTGAGACAGGAGAGGTCTGCTGCGCCATGTGTGGGTTAGCTCCCTGCCCAAGGCTCTAACTCAGGCCTTCATGGTGGTAGTGCTGAGATGCAACCTGTTGGCCACTAGAGATGTCCCCATTTATATTATAATCTATATCATGCCATGAATATTTTCCATGTTACATAGGTAACTAGTTTTTCCACTGTATATGTTTTCCAAAATTTACGTTTTTTTACATTTGTACAACCTGCGTAAGATAACAGTCCTATTGCCTATTTACCGCTAGGAATAAGTCTGTATCAGCTATACTAGAACTGAAGTAGTTGTTTGGGGCACAGTGTCCAGAATTCAAAATGATATCACTAAATCATTCTAACAAACATAATTGGTCTGTTGTCTAGCCTGAACACTTAGACTCTAATTGACTGTGACTTCCTAAAATGTTAAAAGTACTCTGTTCTCCTAAATTTTTATGGATTGTTTCTAAATTCCGCAATTAAAAAACTCTCCATGACAGAGTCTTACTTGACTTGACTTGTGGTTTGTGACTTTAGGATCTCAAAGTACACATCCTAGATCATACACAGATCTGTGTTTAAAGTAACTTTTGATCTCTACTGTCAGCTTTACTGTGGAGAGATACAGTTGTCTTCCTTCTGAATACCAAAGATGGTTGACTTGATTTCAGTAAAATATGGCTCTTAGAACTTATACTCTTGTTTTATAAATATGGACAGTTATTTAGTCAGTGAATTCAAATAATTCTATATTTTTAACATATGTTATTTGAAGTGATTTGTTTTCTTTAAAGTGTTATTGTGGTGTTTCAGTTTTTGTGCAGCTGTATTCACATACTTAAGTTGGGTTTGAAATTGAAGTCTTAAGTAAATAAATATGGCCATATGGCCAGATAAATTGTGTCAACTCCCTACGGATTTCATCTTTCTTTTCCTTGACTTCTTTTTCTACTTCAATAAGTAACAATGTTGGACCAGCCTGTGACTGGAGACATGTGCTCATAAAAATTTAAATGATAATTTTGGCTGTATCAGGTCATTATCAAAAGAGAAGAAAGTGAAAAAAAAAAAGAGAAGATACTAGACGAGGAGACAAGGAAATGAAATGATTAGAGACATGTCAAACTACTTTTTGTTTTATATGTCTCTTCTATATGTAAGATTCTGATGGACAGAAATTTATTTTTCCCTTATCTTCATGTAAAAAAAATTCTAGAGTGAAGATAAACCATTTTAGATACATATTTTAACCAAAGAGTCAGTGATGAAAGAAGTAAACAAAGTATCAGAAAAATAAATAAAAAGAAAAATTTAAAAAGAAAAAATGGGTAAATATCCAGAACACTTAAAAGAAAAAAATTTTTTTTGCTAAAATATGTACACTTAGCAGTTCCAAAAAGAGGGAGATGTTATTTCATGGTTCCTTAATTTATCTTTTCCCTTTCGTTTTTAGTAAAAATAAAGGTAATTCTTATTTTGAAAGCTTAACCTTTTTTTCTTTTTTGCTTTCTCCATTCTTGTTACCATATTGCTATTTATTGCCTCTTTACTAGTTTTCATCAGTTTCAACTTTTAGTCACACTCTGAGACACTGTAATAAAGTTATATTAATTACTCTCTTTCCTTGTTTCCCTAGAATTCAGTATTCAGATTTTTTATGATAGGACCTACATAATTTAGCTCATGAATTTACTAAAGAATGAGTTAAATATTTTTCCAAAAGGTTATATGGGCTAATATACAAATCACAGATATCTTAAACTAGAAAATGTTTTATTTTATTCAGTTATGTTGTATTCATAAAACCTCATCAAGGCAGAGTTGAGATACAGAGTTAAGTACCTACATCCCAAAAATAAATCACGTTTCCTATGCTTTTCCATAATGTACTTAAATCATGTACAACATTTCACTTCAGTTGTTGTTTTTTTTTTTTCTCCCCCAAAGAACGACCCACATTTCTCAGGAGGCCAATTAACCAGGTGGTGCTGGAGGAAGAAGCTGTAGAATTTCGTTGTCAGGTCCAGGGAGATCCTCAGCCAACTGTGCGGTGGAAAAAGGATGATGCAGACTTACCAAGAGGAAGGTAAGATCAGATGGATGGAAATTGTTAGATTGGATGACCAACTGAATGATTGGAAAGGAAATATCATTAAGATAGCCCTAGTTGCACAACAAAGTATTCTTACATCTTGGTTGTGTTATATTTCGCACATAATTTTTACATATGAAAGCTATGTATCTGCAGTTTTATAGAATGACATTTTCCAGGATATTGAAGCCAATCTTTCATTGATTTTTTTTCACATGAATGTCTAATATTCTACTCAGCTATCATCCCTAAATAGTGAAGAGTCAGGAATTATAGCCTCTTCTAGACCTGCCATTTGTTTCTGTTAAATTCTTGACCTTCTTCAACTACTCTGAAGTGTCACCCTGTACTGGATACTGTGTCCTTTCTTTTATAACCCAGAGCATCATTAACAATAAACTGTTAAGAAGCTTATTTTACAGTCTGGAAAAATAGAGAAATCTTTCAACATAACACTGAGTCATCATATTTAGATCAAAGTAATCATTTTTATTGTTATCCTGGTTTTAGTAGAATTCTGTATTCAGATATTTTATGATATGTATCACTTGATTTAGATCAGGAATTCACTGAAGAGTCAGAACCATTTCCCCAACCCCTTTCTCTTCTTTTTATTACCAAAACAAAAAGCTCAACTTCTGAACTCTCTTAGAGTTTATCATCAACGATGTTTATCATCTTTTGAAAAAAGAAATTTAACCATTTGTTGTGTAAATTTTCCCAAGACCTTGCCCTTCGTGATCAAGTAAGTCATTCGAGTATTTTTTTCTATATAACAAGCAAGTCTAGCTTTAAGATTTCCTTTGCCAATGTGCTAGTCCTATCATCTGAAACTATGGTCATCACAGCTACTGCAGTCATGGGCTAAGTAAAATTTCTCATCCTGCTTCTAATTTTTTTCCTGCAAAAAATAAGTTTTATTGCAGTGACTGAAATTAGACATGCATTCATAGAAGACATATGCCTTTTATGGGCTTTCACTACTACCATTATTGATGATTTTTTGAGTTTATGCATTCATTTCAAAATCTCAATTTTATATGTACCTAGGTCTATGATATTATGCATTTTAAATTCATGTCATCAACAACATTGACTTCAAATGGATAGATTATTTTAAACAGTCATTGACATGGCCTTTTCAATCTATGGGAATAAGACATGAAGGTTTTAATTTGGGTTTCCTAGTCTAGACTGTAGTGAAAGTCACCCTATGTTGTTTTATCACTTTCATATCAAACATCTATCTTTAAAGGAAAGCTGTTGTCAAGAAAGATTTTTTTATGTGAAGCGCCTTCTTAATAAGGAAGGATATTGAAAAGCAAGGCGTTTGAGAAATTCAGTTTCAGATGCCCATCATTTATGGATTGTCAATAACATTTCTCAAATTTGAGAACACTTAATGGATCATTTAAAAATGTTGGCGGGCCTCCCCGGTGGCGCAGCGGTTGAGCGCTGGGTTGCGAAGCTGCCCGCGGCCTCTGCGGCGCAGGTTCGATCCCCGGCTGCTCCCTGGCCACCGGAGGAGGGTCCCACATGGCACGCAGACCTCTCCTGCTGCCCGCTGCTCCCCTCAGCAGTGTACTTCGGTCCTTCTGCCTGCTCTGCTCCCCGCTCTGGCTCTGGTGAATTCTCTCACCCTCCCGCGCTTCTGACTGTACCCAGTGCATGTACAAACAAACAAACAAAAAAAACGAACAAACGAATAAATAAATAAAACATGCCTCTATAAAAAAAAAAATAAATAAAAATAAAAAAAAAATAAAAATGTTGGCATAAGATTAAGACATTAATTATACACTAATACTTAGCCTAGTGTAGAGAAAGGGTAATTTTCATTTACTGAAAGTAAACAGCCTTGACTATTTAAGAAAACTTTTCATTTTGTAATAAATTCTGGATTTACAGTAAAGTTACAGAGATAATATATATAATCCCATGTACCCTGTATTGTTATATATAAGCCCATATACCCCCTATTGTTAACATCTTACCTTACTGTGAAACATTTCTCACTCCAAATGGACAACTGTTGATACATGATCATTAAATAAAGATCCCTTCATACTTCTTTGGATATCACCTTATTGTCCTTTAATGTCTGCTTTCTAATACAGAGTATTTATTTAGTTGGATATTTTAGGGTACTGACCTTAGTATCTAAGACAGGGTCTCAGTCTTTTCTTGCTTTCACGACCTTAATATTCTTGGGGTGTACTGACCAAATGTCTTATAAAATGGCCCAAACTTGGATTTGTCTACTGTTTTCTTAAGATTAGTCTGGGTTTCTGGAATTTTAGGGGAAAAGCAATAGAGAAGGGCCAATTTGTCGCATGATACCAGGGGGGTTGCTTAATATCTACATACCATACCTGGTGAGTCTACTATTTTTACTCATTAGATAAGACCCAGTTGACATATGTCTCCAAATTATAAGACTGTGTTGCATTTTTAATGGGTGCACATCTTTGAATTAAGGTAAAATGAAACTTAATCACATCCAGTTTGATTTGTTCCCAGATTATTCTAGGTGTTAGCTCATGAACCTGACAACTTTTATTACTACAATGTTCTCCAAATCTTGCCAAATTCATTTGCTTTAAAGTTGAAATAAAACATACAGATTAATTAAGACTATTAAAACTACATGTTGAAAATATTATATCAAGGCCTCTAAAGACCAGGAAATTTCGAGAAATATTACCATTGCTAACTTCCCTTAAATCATTTCCGTAACTTTAATCTCTTTATTTTCTATGCTAGCATGATAGTTTCATAGTGCTTTGTATAACCAGCTAAATATTTCTAAAAGTATCAATCAGTGGAAATGTTGTGTAATTTTTACATGATGTGTTATAGAGGCTTAGAACAAGGATCAGTGCAATATAAAAATTGGGGTAACTTTTTATCATGATAGAAGCTGTGTATTTTTTGTTAAATTCTCAATCTTATGTGGTATTTCAAAGACACTTATTCATTCTTAGATTGGTACTCATTAGCATAAGCTTCACTTATGCATAATGAGAGGAAAAGAGACCTTTTTATTTGGTGAGGAGTAACAGGAATGACTTTTAACCAACCATAGCCTAAATCAACAACATTGATTCCATTACATTATTTAGGTCTGAGACTAGAGAGATGGCTATTGTTCTTGTCTAAGTAATTGTGTGGAGTGGTGTGGAGGATGACATTTCTTTGGCTTAGCATTTAATGAAATTTGAATAAGGTTTGTGTAGTGGTTCACGCTTAACACATTTATAGTAAAGCTTTGTAGGGCAGCTGCATAGCCTGTAATTACAATGTAAGTAATATGTGACTAGTTTTCTTTTGGAGACAAGAAAAGCTTTTCAATTCAAGTTTAAATTTATGAAATGCTGTGATAGCTATTTAAACCTTCAACACAGAAGAAGAGAACTATGCCAACCTTTCAGTAACCAGAGATGAATTAAGGAAATATTTTTCCTTTTCCATGAAAAAAAATAATAATGTAGTATCTTTATATTTCTTTCATTGATTTAGCCTTACACTCCTGACCGTTGTTTAATGAAATTAAGCATACCCTTTGTGAGTTCTATGGAAGAGACTTTTTGATTAGTTAAATGGTTCCATGAAGTAGGGAGAGTAGCAATTCCCAAGTCAAAGGGAAACAATGATTCCCAATCAGGGAAATGTTACATATTTGGACATTTTCCAGCTAACAAAGGACAAAATAGGAAGGACCCTTCACATTATACAGGCTACTGTCAAAATGTCAATTGCTTACAGAAACTTCTGAATATATCACCATTTACAACTGAAGATTTCAGAAAGGAATAAAAAGTCATTTGTTTTTTTGTGTGTTTCTGTGCCAAATATCAACATCTTTTTTTCTAGAAACTCAAAACACTCAAATAAATCAGTACTGACTTACCTATTAAGGACAAGAATTTTACACACCAACATGAAAATAAAATGGGTAGGGGAAAAATAAGGAAAGAAGTGAATGTTATTTTGTAGTTCATAATGATTATTTATTTTAAAAGCACAATTTTTAATTGGTAATTTAAACTGTGAAAGATGCACTTTCAGGTTTACTTACATTTCATTTTGTCCCTATTATATTTGTAATACTTATTGCTAGTTTCTGTAAAAAGAAATTATTTTAGGCAAGGTAAAAATTCTATTATTGATTCTTTATATTTTATTTTAAGTTACCAGATTGGGTGATATAGAAATTATTTACATAGTAGAACATTAAGGAAAAACTGAAGAAATCCTAGCTCCTTCCTTGAATACTATATCTTTTTATCTCAGACTAATGTAGTTTTTATTAATTAATAATATTTTTTTAATGATCAAGTACCTCTAACATATCTTTTAACAAATTGCACATGATACAGAGGTTGACAGTATTTATAACTGGGGAAATGTTTCTATCATGCCATTTTCCAATTTTAACATGGGATTTTGTATATTTTTGTCATGTCTACAACAAAGTTTAAACTTTATAAAAAAAATCATGTGTTAATATAAATTGAACAAAATATAATAAATTTTCAATACAATAAAAATAAAGTTGAAATATCCCTACTACACAGTATTGTGTTCAATCTAATATTAGTAAGGAGAACAAAAAAAAAAAATCCCTTTTCAGCATTTGGGTGAGAAGTACTATAATTAATCTAATTGTGATTTCTTATCTGGGCTTGTCAGCACAGTTTGTATTTCAGTTAATTATTAGCTTTACTTTAAAGGACTGTAAACAGGAGATTTAAAATTCTTTATCAATTGCAGTTATGTTTAGTATATCACCATTAGGTTGATCCATGTTATTATTTATTCCATTTTTATTTATTTTCTAAACTCACTCTAAAGTGACACTAACTTCCTCAATAAGAATCTAGAGTAGAGAAAGGAATGTGCATAATAGCTTCTCAGAAAAAAAAAAAGGAAATAAAATATGCCATTTACATTCTTAGGTATACCTGTGAATTCTAAATGTAGTTGATGGCTCT